TTCGGATCACAGGCCCACCTCTCTAACCTCTGTGCCACCACTCCCCCGTATTACCGTATTTTTTAAAAAATCTGAATTTTTCAAGGAGTAATGGAGAGAGGCAACATTGGAGAAATGTCATTAGTGCATAACTGTACGTTTTTTTCTTCAGTTTACGCTCCTGTCGTGGACACAGACGTACAGTACTACTGTGGCTTTCCTTTTCTCAACATCCAATCCTTGTGATTCTAATTGTCCCCAGCATGACATCTAATCTGTCGGTCTGCAGAATGTCAAACCATGGTGACATGCACACCCACACAATGACTATATTTGTCTCTCTCACAGATGACTTTGGATTATTCCAGATTAATTATGGGAAGTACAATTCTGAAACACAGAGTTTAATCTCAGTGACATACTTAACTTGCATTGAAAGTCTCTATAGGGAAACATGACGAGTTTTTCTCACAGTGAAAAAGAGTTGCATTGAAACAAACTAAATATAGGAAGCAAACCTAAAACAAGTTATTTCTTTCAAACTATTAACTCACTGCACGGCATTTGTGGTGCTGTGATTTTTTTTAAGTAAATTTTATTAAGAAAGGGGAACTCCATCTTCTTAATGCTAGCCAGCTCATGCGTTTGGAGGGTTAACCCTCTCTTACATCCTTTGTGTTACGTAACAGCTAAGCTTAGTCTGACGGATTAATGCTCACTCTCTTTGCTAAGACCACATCTGACTTCACACTCTTCATCATAGATAGTGAACTATATAGTTCATAGATCTTACTCTAGGGATGCAATACATGAAGAGATTGTACTCTACGTCTTGTTTAACCCATTTGTGTCAATTGTTTTAGCTACATGTAAAAAAAAGACATCCTTGTGAAGTTGTCTAAGTATTTGTTGCTGAATGCTTAACGATCTGATGCTGAACACAACTCTAAATGTGTGTATGAATGAGTGATCCACATGAAACTGTGAGGAGGATGGTTTTCACTGTTATATTTTACTTAGAGTCCTGTCATTTGTTTGTGGTCATGTCCAAGCTGTATATAGCTGCTTAGGATTTCAGTGGAAACTGTGAGCTGATTGGTTTTAGTCCAACACGTGCCAAACCGGACATCCTGCATAAAGCACAAGGTTTATCTTTGTCCTTGCCGTCTCTTCCTCCTCCTCTTCAATTTGCCCTTACTGCTTTATTTCACGCTGTGAATCTTTGCAGGAATAATTTGTTTTTTTCATGTCGTCGTTCAAGTTTTAATCTTTTCTTTCTTTGTCCTGGCCTTTCTTTCATCTGAAATACACTCTCAGGTAACATGCTGGTGTAGATTTTATCAGCCACAATAAGCGTTTTCACAGAAAAGCTTGTGTCCATTTTCAATCCGAAAGATTTGGAGCGTAATCTCCTAATTTAAGAAAATAAATGCCAGATTAACAAGGAAAAGATTTCTTTTTTTTTAAGAAATAAATCATTGAAACAAAAGTTGTTTTGTAATCCTTGAGGATTTTTACGTTTGATTACACATGTATTTCAACATACATAGTGACTATAGGAGACAGATGTATGAATTACAACCACGCTCTCCCTTTTCACAGCTTCATCATTAAACTGTTCTTTCCTTCTTGTCCACAGACTATGCTGACAGCTATATCCATGAGTGCAATTGCTACTAATGGTGTTGTACCAGGTAGGATGCTCTCAGTCAAGTGTCCCTTATTTATCGATCAGAAACCATCTTGATTGGAGCACTTTTCTGTCTGGTTGTGCTTCTAGCTGGAGGCTCGTACTACATGATATCCAGATCGTTGGGTCCAGAGTTTGGTGGAGCAGTGGGTCTATGTTTCTACCTTGGGACGACGTTCGCTGGTTCTATGTACATCCTGGGTACTATTGAGATTCTACTGGTGAGGAAAACCAGTTTGCTCTTAGATAACTTAGACTTTACCCAAATTCAGTTTAGAAAAGGATTAATGGACGCTGGTTTTGATTTTCACAGCTCATGCTAATTTTACCGTTTACTTCCTGGTAGGCTAATTAATATACAGTAGTACATGTGTCAGCACGTAACGTGCACTAACTTCAGCAGCTGCTTTATGATTTAAGACCGTTCCTGTCACATATATTTGATTAGGACAATACAGTGGTTTGGATTTGCGATGAATTAAGGTTTACTCACCCCCAAGTCCGGCAACCACAAGAGCCTCAGATGCTCCTTTTTCACTGCTCCTACTCAGCTCTGCTCAGATCAGCTCGTTACACGTTGCATTTCCACTGCGCTTCAGGTCCGGTTCTGGAGGCGTGTCCAGAATCCAAAATCCTGCTGATGAACTTTTAACGAACTTTCGTTCACCGAGTGAGAGTTCTGCGATGAGTTAAACTCAAAGCAGTCTGCTCCTCAGATAAATAATGTTAAATTATTATTTTTAAATATTAATGTTTCTGTTCAGTGCTCTGAGGCGACTTCTGTTGTGACTTGGCGCTATATAAATAAATTGAAATATATCTGATGAACCAGATTGTACAAAAACATCTATATTTAAAATTCTATATTCTTCTTCATCATTTGATGTATTTGCACTCATTGTGTCTACTTTTATTGTTCAATTTAAATATATGGTTTTGTTTCTTGTATACAGATTTTATTTTAGCTTTGATTTAAAGTTAAATTCTTGTTTTGTGATTTGTTCATCTGTGGGTTAGAATAAAGTTCAACCAAAGGCAGTTTCTCTTCTTTAAACATGTTTGAGGGAAATATTCCTGAGAGATCCAATAATTTTGTCTTTTCAGAGTCAGAGTCAGAGTTTCTTTATTGTCATTCGCACCTCATGTGGTACATGTGGTGGAGCGAAATTATGTACACGGGGTCACAGTTACATCCAACAATAAAATGTATAAGAAAAACAGTAATAACATCTAAGATATGAACTAAGAAAAACATCAACTAAATATACACTAAGCACTCATAACATAAAACATTGAACATCAGCACAAACATGAACATGAGTCTGTGAGCAGATGTGCACGCATGAACACATCAACATTGAAACAGATCAGCAGCAACATTGAAACAGATCAGCAGCAACATGAAACAGATCAGCAGCAACATGATATGGTTTTTCACAGTGATTATTCTGGTTAGAGATTCATGAGTCTAACAGCCTCAGGGTAGAAGCTGTTCCTCAGTCTAGTGGTTCTACACTTAATGCTCCTTAACCTCCTTCCTGAGGGGAGTGGGGCAAAAAGTGTGTGTGCTGGGTGAGTGGGGTCCTTCATGATGCAGGTGGCCCTCTTCCTGCATCTGGAGGTGTAGATGTCTGTGATGGTGGGGAGGCTGATTCCGACAGATTTCTGTGCAGCCTTCACCACTCTCTGCAAAGCTTTTCTTTC